TTTTCCTGTCACCCAGGCTGCCAGGCTGGAGTGCAGTGGTGTGATATCAGCTCACTGCAACCTCTGCCTCCTGGGTTCATGCAATTCTCCTGCCTCAGCCTCCCAAGTAGGTGGGACTAAAGGCGCATGCCACCACACTCAACTAATTTTTTTTGTATTTTTAGTAGAGAAGGAATATTCACTGTGTTAGCCAGAGTAATTTTTTTGTGTTTTAGTAGAGACAGGGTTTCACTGTGTTAGCCAGGATAGTCTCAATCTCCTGACCTCATGATCCACCCACCTTGGGCTCCCAAAGTGCTGGGATTACAGGTGTAAGCCACTGCACCTGGCCACATCTATCTCATTGAAGTCAATACTTTTTGTATTTTCTGTTATTTAACAACCAAAACTAATTCCAACTAATGTAATTCCTAATGCTTATGGGCCTAGATTCATGAAGCAATTATATGAAATAACTAATACCTCTACCTACAATCTTGAAAATATATAACACTATCTTTTGTATCCATATACATGTATTTTTGAGACAGGGTCTCACTGTCACACAGGCTGGAGTACAGTGGTGCAATCACAGCTCTCTACAGCTTTCACCTTTCAAGCTCAAGTAATCCTCCTACCTTAGCCTCCTCAGTAGTTGGGACTGTTGGGCACATGCCATCACATGACTTTTTTCCCCTGTAGAGGTGGGGTCCCACTGTGTTGCCCAGGCTGGTCTTGAACTTTTGTAATCCTAGCACTTTGGGAGGCTGAGGCAGGGAGATCATTTGAGGTCAGGAGTTCGAGACCAGCCTGGCCAATATAAGGAAACCCTGTCTCTACTAAAAGCACAAAAATTAGCCAGGTGTGGTAGTGTGTGCCTGTATTCCCAGCTTACTCAGGTGGCTGAGGCACAAGAATCTCTTGAAGCCAGGAGGCGAAGGTGGCAGTGAGCTGAGATCATGGCACTGAGCCGAGATAATGCCACTGCATTCCAGCCTTAGGGACAAAGTGAGGTTCTGTCTCAAACAAACAAACAAAAAGTCTATAGTAAGAGTCTCTGGGCAAGAGAGATGGCTTATGCTTATAATCCCAGCACTTTGTGAAGTCAAGGTGGGTGCACCACTTGAGGTCAGGAGTTCAAGACCAGCCTGGCCAATATGGTGAAACCTCTCTCTAGCAAAAAATACAAAGATTAGTCAGGCATGGTGGCACGTGCCTGTAGTCCCAGCTACTCAGGAGGCTGAGGCACAAGAATCACTTCAACCTGGGAGATGGAGGTAATAGTGAGCTGAGATCATGTCAGTGCACTCCAGCCTGGGCGACAGAGTAAGACTCTGTCTGGAGGCACCCAAAATCTCTACAACGGTCGAATATGAGAGTCTAATCTACAAGCCATTTATAGTAAATCATCTTAATATAACATGATATAGCAATAAACAGTGAAACCAAAGTTACTAATAATATGGACACGCATAAATATTTTAGACTCAAAATCAGAATGACACTAGAGTAACAATAGATATCACAATACCAAGATGAACTAAGAGAACATAGTATTTTTATATCATGATTAAATATTTCAAAAGCCTCCAAAGCACTCAAGAGTCAGATCTAATTCTATGAATAATATACAACACTCATTATATTCAATGATACAGTAATAAAAACATGTAAAATATTCAGTGAGTATGTGCAATTACTAAAAAAAAATTGCATAATAGCTCTGTCACCCAGGCCAGAGTGCAGTGGTGCGATCTCAGCTCACTGCAACCTGCGCCTCCCAGGCTCAAGCTAACCTCCTGCCTCAGCCTTCTGAGCATCTGGGACTACAGGCATGCAGTACCACATCCGGCTAATTTTTTGTATTATCAGTAGAGACTGGGTTTCACCATGTTGCCCAGGCCAGTCTCAAAACTCCAGAGCTCAAGCGATCCAACTGCCTCAGCCTCCCAAAGTGCTGAGATTATAGCCCTGAGCCACTGCACCAGGCCAATACTTACTATATTCAATAAAATAATAAAAACAGGTAAAATATTCAGCACGTGTAATTACTGAAAAATATAGAGTGACAATACTCAATGAACTTGTATTAAAAGGAAAAAAAATCCCTTCTAAAGATAATCTCAATATATGGGCATTGTTCTTTTCACTGAGAAGCATCCCAGAAAAACATACCTTATCTCCATCCATAAATCGCTGTTTTTCTGTGATGTTTAGTATTTCCACAGGCACATCAAGTTCAGATCTTGATTCATAAGATATGCTTCCATCATCATTGCTCACAACCCGTCCCTTGCGGCCAGTCATCTGAGGGAGCCAATGTCATTACAATGAAGGTATCTGACTGCGGGGCATGGACTCAGTGCCTCTTTCCTTAAAGACACTTGGGAAATAAAAGCACACGTTGTGCTGCACCAGGCACTGGAGGATACAGAACAGTACAACACAGTCCCTGGAAAAAGCTGACATGTGGCCACGATCACAAAAGCTGTGTGAAAAGTGCGATAACCAGGACAGTGGCTTGGGACAGACACTCAGATACTGGAGGCAGCACTTCACTGGATCTAGGATGGCAACTAAAGTAGAACAAGAAATCTACGATCTAAAAAATTTAGATTATTATGTGATAATACTCAAAATACAAGTCATTTTATAGGGGTTCAAATGGCAAAAATGTCACCAAGACATACAGGTATATTTACCTCAGCAACATTCTCAGGGCCGCCAAGTTCATCGATAAGTTCATCCAGGGTATTAGGGGGGAGGTCTTCAGCTAATTTTTCTAGTTTATCAAGCAGGTCTTTCTTCATCTGCTGAGCCCTTTCCACGGCATCCTGACTTGTTATAAGGCTACTGTTACTGTTGGTGTTACTGTTAGCTAGATAAAGAACATTTGTTACAAGTCAGTACAAAGTTTAACTATTTTTGTTTAAAAGCGTATTTTAACAAGAAAGTTTCTACATGGATACCTGGTGTACTGTTAGGAGCAGGTGAGATAACTGGTGTAGATGAAAAACTGGGTCGTTTTGATCCAAGACCTGATGCTAATAAGGCACTTTGAATAGAATCTGGATCTATACTTTTCTTCTTTTTCTTCTCTTTGTTTTTCTTGTGATCTTTTCTGATTAACCAGGGATCTGAGCATTAAGGAAAGATATATGTCAAATCATTTGTTAAAAAAGTACAGACTCTTTAAAAGGAACAGCCTTTGAAACCTGGGACTACAGGCACATGCCACCATGACCAGTTAATTTTTTTTTTTTTGTCCAGACAGTCTCACTCTGTCTCCCAGGCTAAAATGCAGTGGCATAACTTATAACTGATAACTTATCTCCATCTACACTGGTCCATCGATAAACCATGGGGTACAAATCCATGTTTTCAGATTAAAAATAGCTGCACAAAAATTGAGGTTATCTTCTCACATATATGAGAGAACCTCCAGAAGGTAGATAAGCCTGGAGCGCCCGGCCAAGCAAAGATTAGAATCTGTGTGATCATTTGTACTGTACAGAAAAAAGGTTTAATATCCCATTTTTAAATACACTAAAATATTAATTATGCTTTAGTGTAGATTCAATATATTGATAAACTTACCATTTTCATCATCCTCACTAGACTCATCTCTAAATGGGTTGAAATCATCATCATCTCCAGAACTCATGTTTTTAGAGCTGTCATAGTCACTTTCTTCATTATCAGAGGCATCAGATTCACTTCCACTGTCATCAGAACTGCTACCAGTAAGTCCACCTACTTTTCGTGCTTTTTTGGCTTCTCGAGTTATTTCTTCACCTAACCCCAACACAATCAAGAGAGTCAGCCCAAATTCAATGTTCTTAAGATCTAGTACATATTTAGCTCATGAATTAATTCAAATGAAAAGTGCAGAGGAAAAGCATTTATTTAAGTCAAAGAACAAACAGAATTTAAAAATCAGTGCTAACCTTTTGGACTTCCATAAGAAATAAGGTTATAAACATTTATTTTCAAGAAGAAACTAGATACATTAAGTACTAAGTCAAGATCGCCTTCAAGTGCACAAGTTTCAAAACAAATTCAAGACAACAGAGTAAAAGCAGAACCTCAGCCACAGTCACAATTTGACTGTGTGTCCTATTTGAGGTTTAATAATTATAGGTTTAAAGACATACTCAGAAAATCGATTCATAAAACCTTTTTATTTTTGGACCTAAGGCCTCACTCTGTTGCCCAGGCTAGAGTGCAGTGGCACAATCATAGTTCACTGCAGCCTCAACTTCCCTGGCTCAAGTGATCCTCCCACCTCAGCCTCCTAAGTACCTGGAACTATAGGTACATGCCACCATGACCAGCTATTTTTTTCCCCCCGACAGTCTCACTCTGTCTCCCAGGCTGAAGTGCAGTGGCACAATCTTGGTTCACTGCAACCTTTGCCTCCTGAGTTCAAGCGATTCTCCTGCCTCAGCCTCCTGCGTAGCTGGGATTATAAGGCGCCCCTGCCATCAGTCCCAGCTGTTTTATATTTTAAGCAGAGATGGGGTTTGGCATGTTGGCCAGGCTGGTCTTGAACTCCTGACCTCGAGTGATCCACCGCCTTGGCCTTTCAAAGTACTGGGATTACAGGGCATGAGTCACTGTGCCCAGACTGAGAAGTTTGTTTTTTTTTTTGAAGACAGGGTCTCTCTCTATAGCACAGGCTGGAGTACAATGGTATGATCTCGGCTCACTGACACCTCCGCCTCCCGGGTTCAAGCAATTCTCCCACCTCAGTCTCCCAAGTAGCTGGAATTATAAGGCATACACCACTATGCCTAATTTTTTTTGGTATGTTTTGGTAGAGACTGGGTTTCTCCACGTTGATCAGGCTAGTCTGGAACTCCTGACCTCAGGTGGTCCACTGCACCCGGCCGAAGTTAACTTCTAAAAGCCAAACAGGTCTTGGTAATGGCTCATGCCTATAATCCCAGCACTCTGGGTGGCTGAGGTGGGTACACTGCTTGAACCCAGGAGTTCCAGACCAGCATGGCCAACACGGTGAAACACTGTCTCTACTAAAAATACAAAAATTAGCAGTGTGTGGTGGTGCATGCCTATAATCCCAGCTCCTTGAACCGGGAAGTGGAGGTTGTAGTGCATCAAGATGGCGCCACTGCACTCCAGCATGGGAGACACGAGGGAGACCCTGCCTTAAAAAAAAAAAAATGCTCTTTTAAAGACTACTGAAACACCCAACTCTACATATATTAAAAAATAGGTCTGACAATAGAAAGACAGGTTTTAGTACCCATGCATCATAAACTACCTCTCTGAACCTAGGAAAACACCTTAACTTTTAAATCTTTCTGTGCTTTAGTGATCTCTGTTTATAAAACTGGAAAAATAAGACCTAATTTCATATGGACCTCTGCCAGATTAAATGGTAGCATGTATATAGCTAAGCGCTTAACACACTGTCAACCACCAGTGAATTGCTCAAGTCCTAATTTAAAACAGAGGGATAACTTGTGCGTTCAAAATTGCACAAGTGACAGTGAAAATTTGTAACCTCTTTTGAATTCATGGAAGGCAGTTTATTGCCAAAATATAGCCACTTTAAAATGCTTACATTTATGGTATTTTCAACATCAACTATTTTTTTAAAAAGCGGCCGGGAGCGGTGGCTCAAGCCTGTAATCCCAGCACTTTGGGAGGCCAAGGCGGGTGGATCACGAGGTCAAGAGATCGAGACCATCCTGGTCAACATGGTGAAACCCCGTCTCTACTAAAA